AAGTAAGAAACAAAAATAACCAGAATGCTAAATTAAAAAGCGATGTGCTAAATAAAAATTAAGTAAATTTTGAACCAAAAAAAGAGAGAAATTACTAAAGAACTTTTGTAAGTCAAAAGTAAAAATATTGCAATTCAAAATTTTTGAGACACATAAAGCCAAGAGAACATATGGTCATTTAGTATCAGGAAATATAAAAAATGAACTATGCTTTCAAGGAAGTTCGAGCCACGCATCTTCCACCACTATTTGGACATGCGAATCAGTTACACTACTGATGTACGCATGGGAGAATGCGATGATTCTTTAGAAATATCCAATCGTTTTGTTGTCAGCTCGTTTTCTTTCCTTTTGAAATGAATCAATATATGTGGCAAACTATTAAATGTTCAAAGTTTTTTTTTAATTATTTTACATTAAGAATATTTCAATACTCATAAAAGTGCCGGTTATTGTGTGTGCTAGAGTTGTTATTGCGACTAATCTCACATGTCTGACCTCATCAGAACAAGTCCACGAATTTTATTGTAGCAAGGAGTTGAAGACTGCTTCTGTCGTTAGCAAGAGCTTCGAACACTATACAGGTGATAATCCCACTTCAGTCAGTTTCGCCCCAGTTCTGAGGAAGCGCTCCCTTAGGAACGGGTCCCAGGATTTCCGAACCATTTTTCTCTACCACCACCCTCTCGTGAGTACTTTCGGCTTGCCGTATATTTTGAGTGCTCCCATATCGCACAGACTATATACATTTACAAACATAATGCCTTCTGCGGAATTCGAAACGGAGCCATTCAGTACCGCAGTCAATATTTTTTTTCCTGAAAAGTTACATTATGTGGGCAAAAAAGATAGGCAGTCTAATTAGGCCTAGAGGAGTACACAAGTAAAATTTTGTGAAGATATCACTTATCGTTTAATTCTGTGGGTGTGCCCAAAGTGGGCACACTGATTGAATAGAGCTTCGAAAAGAGTTTTGAAACGAGCATTGTTGTCAATGAACTGACCGATGAGATGCGGAGAAACAAAGAATACAGTTGTCCTAGATTATCGGTGAGCCCGGTCTGGACACACCTAAGGTTCGCCGTTTGATTTTAGGCAAAATTTCAAGGTAAAAATTTAAAACTAATATAGAATAAGGAAATTAGCATACAGCCAAAAAAATAACATAGAAATTTCTTTTCAAACAATTCCTTTTATACCCTAAAGAAATCTGGAAGATTTCTTTGAAAAATGAGGGTAAACTAAACCTCTCTTAAAAAACTAAACATGGCTAAAATATATGGACTGGTTTCTGTTGAGCTGCCATGTACTATAAATGAAGAAGGTTCAGAGTAACCTATACTAACCTATACATCCTTTTTCATTCAATTTTTCTGTGCGTACAGAAGGAAATTTTTACGTGTATCCAGACCGGACACACTGTGCCGCAAAGAACCGATGAGAAATTAAATTCCTGAAAAATTAAAAAAAAAAGGCTAAAATGCTTTTAACAATATTGTTGCCACTGAAGAGAATGAAATAAAATTATCTTAAGAAAGCAATAAGTTTGCTGCTGCGTTGACATGTGTCACCCATTAAAGAGTGTTTGAAAAACTCCAGATTGGGGGGTTTACATCTCTAATATATTTTTCAAAAATACTTCTTCAATAGCTATTAAGAGAAGTTATGCGTCATTTAAAATCTTCGAAAGCTAATTTTCTTTTCCAAAAAATAGCTCGGAATCACCTTTTTGATGATTTTATTTTCTAAATAACTTTAAATCTCTCGTTAGAGTGTTTTTAGAACTCAATCGACACGATTTATGTATTAAATTTAAATCCGAACGAATATTGATTATTTTAAAATAAAATAAAATAAAATAAAATAAAAAAACCTTGAAATCACTTGCAGTTATGGCGTTTTATTCTCTGACAACATGAAAGTTTCTGGACTCGGATAATTTAATTATATTCCTCCATTACTTCTGAAATGGTATAACTATACATATTGCTTTTCATTTTATTCTAAGCTGAGTAATAAATGCCAAAGGCGTGTATATTTCTTGCTTTCGGGAGAGATGTTTTCTTATTTCCAATTCTAATAATGGAATTTTTGCATAAAAAATGTAGTATTTTTAACGAATGTTTTACAGACAATTAAAAAAATAAACAGATAATTGAACTACATTGAAGGGAGAAAATCAACCTCGAATTATCCTAATTTAATTATTAATCAACTCCTCAAAATTGAATACTGTTGCGTTCTACGGATTCTTGAATTTGGAATAATTAATGATAACATTCGATGAAGAATCAAAACACCATTTATTCGCCAGTGAGCACTATTATACAAGGGAGTTCCAAAGACACGTTTGCAGTAGTAGAAAAATTATGGAAAACACGGTTGAAACAATCAGCAACATAGCCTTCAGGCTATAACGGAGAAGACAACTTCACGATACTAAGGTACAGCTCCCGACTGAGCTAATGTCTGAATTCAAGATGCTACACTACACTCTGAATCCAAGATACTCTACTAGACACTACTACTCCTCGGACAGTCAGGGTATATAAAACTCAAATTACCTTTGAGAATATTTTCAGGAAAACCGCTAAGGAATGTGTTCTAGAATGTTCTCTCTCTGTCTACGGCATATCACCAATTTGGGCACCAAATATCGCCAAATGGGCAATTTCGCGCCAAATCTGGCAACCCTACCACTTTCTGGCAAACCTAAACCCGCTTTGCGTGGAAGCTATCTTACCACAGCTGGGTATTTCTCAACAATATAAAATTTTAGCTTGAAAATATCTGAGGCTCAGAAAACGAATAAAATGGCAAAACAGGCAAAAAATCATTATTACATGGTAGATTGTTTTCAAATATACTTGTTTTTTTTTGTTCTATTATTAGACCACATATACTTTTTTTGTTTTGTTCTACTACTAGATGATAAATACTTGTTTTTAGATCATAGATTCCCAGCTGGGGAAGTAGCTGGTTCAACACCTGAATTGGAAATAAAATATAATAATATTAATTGTATTCTTTACTATCATATAGCCTTCAGAAGTCACAAGAACATTCTTTTTTAGACTTTAATTTATTTATAAAACCTTTAACAAACTTCAAAATTGTTATTATTCATTAAAAATCGAAAAGATTTGCATGATTTCGTACAGTTTAAATTTAATCAAAATCGTGATATCGGAGTTCGAAACGATTTATGTTTATTTCAATTTGATTAAAATATCTTACATATGTACCAATAAATGTTTTTGATTCTATGAGAAAATATCTATTTCTTGACCGTTATCACATTTTAACAGATTTACAACGATTTTCTTACAACGATTGTCGCTATAAGAAACAAACGTAAATAGACAAGCATTCAGAGAAACAAAGCGCGGAATTTTCCCAATGATAGAAAATGAACTTCTTTCTTATGTTCGTTCATTACGAAATGGATGGATGTGCGGTATTTTCAACGCTTTGGACGGAAGCGAAGATGACATTTTATGGAATGACGGAGATTCTTCAGACATCGATTCCCATTACAGCAGTGATACTGATACCTTCAGTAAAGTGATTATGAATTATGTATTATGTTATTAGAATATTTTGTCCATATTTTCACAAAGATTATTTGTTAATTTTATATCTATAAAAATATTACCAGAAAAGAAAAAAGGCCCCTTTTTTGTGTGCAACTGACGAAAAGACTATTTCATAAACAGCACATAATTTGGAAACATAATTATTAATTTTTTAAAACTTTTTATTTTTTATTTTTTTTAAATTATTAATTTTTTATTATGTATTTTTCATACCAGTTAGGCCTTAGCATTAGAGTGTAGAATATTGTATAGTAGATGTCCCCGCATAATTATTTGCACCTAGATTTTCATAATGAAAATTTGGCAAAAATATGCGAGTTATTACGCGAGTAAACACTGTATGTATTACACATGGCTAACGCAACACACCCAACACAGACAAACGAAAATACAGTTAAAAGAATAAAACAAAAGACTAAAACAGAAATACAGTCAAAACGCAACACACCCAACACAGACAAACAAAAATACAGTTAAAAGAATAAAAACAAAAGATTAAAATCGAACTACAGTCAAAAACAGCTGAGAATTTTCTTTTATAATACAGAAGAATATAATCAGATCTTTTATAAATATTGTTAAAATGTTCTTCAAAGGTTCATATATACACATGTATACATAGACTTAAAGATTTTAAGTAAATTCGAGTCAAAGCAAGGTTATTCCTCAACAATGTTAATATTAGCAGTCGTGTATAAGAGGTTTAACACAAGATCCAAACTTATCAAAATTAAAATAAGAATTCATAGCAGTACAAACTCTAAAAATAAAAATGAAAATGCAAAAGGGTAAAAAAAGTACAAGATAATAAAAGTACTTTACTGAAACTCCAATTCAGAACTCATCAAGGAAAAATGAATTAAAGCTTCACAGAAGTCGATTAATATGTTTCGAAAACCTGTTTCGGTCTCCTGGCTCATTTAACATCAAAAACTGAAAAAAGAATCTATTAAATTTTCATTTAAGATACTAAAATTCATATAAAACCGAAAACTCGAATATCATATCCACCAGGAATTTCCCTACACGCCTTCGAAACATTTGGTAAAACGAATAAAAACATAACAATGTGCTAAATTGACTACTAAAAACACACACACAAAAACTTTACATTATGTAAGAAGACCTTTAAAAATATCAAATTAGCCTAAAATCATTATATGTAAATCAGAAATTCAAAAGCAAATAGGTATAAAGTGTAAAACAAATATACTTTAAACCAAATTGTCATTTAAACAACACTCAAAAACTGGGTGATCCTCGATTATGCCAAACTAAACTTTTAATGCCAAGAAAACGAAAAACGTTTCATACAATTCTTTAAGTAATAAAATCAAATCTCAGCTTTATCAGATAATAACTGGAAAACAATTGGAAACAAAAATGGAAAAAACGCAAACTTACCGAAATCTTAGGACGACCTTCTGAATAAAAATATACTTAATTCTTCAGACGACCAAACTGTGTTCATTCAAAGCTGTTCTGTAGATGCAAAAAATTGTAGTTCTTGGAAAAAGAATGCGATAGGTTCAAAGTCTCCATGTATACAACAGATATGAAGAAATAATTACTAATGCCGACAATTCATCTGCAGACATTTTACCACGGAAGTATATGAAGTACATTTGGACATGAAAGTACAGTTACATCAGAACAAGAGAAAACGCGTAATAATTTTTATATTTGTTCTTTGATGATTCATAGGACTGATATCACAAGTGTTATTCTGCCTGACAGTATTAAATATCAGTAGCTTATTCAAGCAGAGCGATACTACCTGTCGTAGACGATAATTGTATCATAATTACATTATCAGTTATTTGGAACATTACACATTAATCGGAAGATAAAACAGTGCCGCTGATTCTTCAATTATTGAACGGATGATGGATGTTTATCTTAATGAGTATAGATAAAGAATAAAAGCATTGAAGGAAAACGGTTAGTATATAATATTTAAACGCCGAAATTGGAATTTCGGTGGTACGGATAATTCAAAATTTATTTTCGTTAATACAGAAAAATCGTTTATTTTCAGGATACTAACTTTAAATTCAATTTTAGGAAATATGTTGTATTCCTCGTAATTTTCTTGCGTTATGAGTCAGATATTTTATGTGCAACAAAAGTGACCATTTTAATTATGTGCTACGCTTTCCAGTAACTTGGCAGAAGGTGACAGACTTCAGGAGATTATATTGAGGGACTCTAAGTGTCTGTACCTGTAGTAATCAAGATTTTTCATAATTATTCACATGTTGCCACTACTTTTATTGAACCCATATATTAAATACGTAACAGGAAGAATTACGTGAGGAATCATAACATCACCGTTGGTTGTACAGATATTGTACAGATATTGTACAGATACCACTGCATTAACTATATCACTGCGCGCCAATTTTAATGCACCGTCCTAAGCGGGAAGGATTTGAAGGTTTCCCACTTTATCTACTACCACTAAAGCATTGGACAGGACATTCGGCTCTCCGATATTTCAAGTGCCCTCATGCCGCACATATACTATACACTTACAAACATATATGTCTTTCGCGGGATTCCAGCCCAATGCAAAGTTACTGCAATCAGCATTGCTATACTGATCACTGCGGGCATGTTTTAATACAGGTACAGGTGCAGCAGAATTGGTTGTACAGTAAGTCCTATCTCACCAATTGGCAGTTATGCCCCAGTTTTGACTGGAAGCACCCTTAGCAACTTATGCGAGGTTCTCTCTTCATTCTAGCCCTACCAACAAGCGCAGCCACTACACGCTTACAAACATTCGTGTCTGTTCAAGGATTCAAACCCAGGTTTAACGGTACGACAGTCGACGTCACAAATAGCTATGCCCTCTGGGCGGCGCTACCTAATACAGAAACCCATACACGGAGGATAAAACCAGAATTAGGATGTACAGATTCAGTTTTAAAAACTGACTGCTACGGGTTTTGTAAACAGCGTGTCTATTTATTAATCTATTTTTTTTTTTTTTTTTTTTTTTTTTTTTTTTTTTTACATAAAAGAGCACAAAAATAACTTCGAAAATGATTTCGGTGGTGGATATAATTCCTTTTAAACATAAAATTCTTCCATGCGTTTTTACAAAAAGAGCTTTATTTCATCAAAAGAAATTTCTCTATCAATTATTCCCTTTTCTCTCCAATGTATTTTTCCCTAACATTATTTTAATTTATATAAATTTTTTGAAAATAGAATAATGTTGTGTTCGACAAATCCTGTTTGAATAATTCTTAAATTATGATTTGGTTAACTGATATGCAAACAATTCAAATTTAATGAAAAAATAGCAAAGGGCAAAATGTAAACAAAATTCCGATAGACATGACTTTTAATTCGCAAACTTTTATAATCCGCTCAAGTCTTGTGTCCGAGATTTGGGGATTATCAGAATTATTCTGCATAATAAATAATTGTGCTAATTAATTAATTAATTTTTTGGATCCGTGTAATTTTTAGCCTTTCAGTTTTATTTTTGGAACACCGAAGAGTGCTATATATTATAAATGAAGCATTTTTACAAATTTTGTTCGCAGAAGACTAATTTTTTAAGGATTTTTTTTAAAGATTTGACATTCCTTTTTCGAAATCTAATTTTATTTTTGAAAGCTTTAGGTGTATATTTTCTAAATGTGTAAATTTTTACTACTTACAAAGTAGGGATAAGCTAAATTTTTATTATGCTTTCGATTATTTTATTGTATTTTATCGCAAACAGTAAAATAGTTTTATTACTAATTTTATTTACCAATTTTGATCAATTAGTTAAGAAAATTAAGAGATGAATTTCACTGGGAGTCTTAACTTGGCATAATACGTTTTAAAATATATTCACGGGAAACAGTTGCGAAGAAGTAAAAATGGTATTCAGAATTAGATGAGGCTTTACATAATTACATTTTTAAGTTATGATAAAAGAATTTTTTAAAACTTTTTTGCTGCAAGCATACAAAAGCAGCAAGAAGCCTTACAATATCATATGAAATTGATTTTCACATAATTATATTTTATTGTCAAAACAAAACTAAAACGATTTTTTTTACTGCAAGCAAGGAGAAGGTGCAAGAGACATGCGCTGTCTGACGAAACCTATTTTTATCAGCTTTTATTAAATATGTTCATGATGTTTGTCGTACAGTAAAAAGTTCGTCATCGATTTTAATCTAGTTCCTGATAAACTACAGAGTTCAAATTTTGGGCATTTATTTCAATGATGAAGCAATGAGTGAAGCGAGTTTTTCAAAATTTAATTTAGATTTTTCTTAAAAATTAACGTTGAAACGATTTTTCTCACACATTTAACGAACAAACTAAAAATATCAGAACTTTGCAGCCTTTGCATCATCGGATAGAGTTGAAAAAAATCTTTTGAATGACATTTGTATCAATGTTTTAACTTGATTTCTGAATTTTTGGCGAATTTTCGAAAATTGCCTCACTTTTTCAACTACCATATTTACTCGCATATTTCTCTCCCTAGCGTATTCCACCCCCTAATATTTTCAGCACATGATTTAGAAATTTTTTATTTAGGGTAACAATGCTAATATGCACAAATAGAAAATAATTTTGTGTAAGTCGAAAGAATAGTATTTAAAAATTTCAACATCTAAAATTGTATCGAATATGAAATTTTAAAAGATTATAAAACAAACTCTTTCAGCTCTCTAAAACACGAATAATAAAAAAAATATTAATTGGGCTATTTTCAACACTTCGTTAAAAATATTGTTGCGTTCTACGGGTTCATGCGTTACGAGTGATTGATGACATCACTTGATGAAGAATCAAAACGCAATTATTCGTTAATGCTACACAGGAGAGTTCCAAAGATACGTATACAGCCGTTGAAAAACTACGATAAACACGCTGAAACAATCAGCATCACAGTCTTCAGGCTATCGGGCTATAATAGTGAGGACAGCTTCACGACAAAGCACTAAAGTACAGCTTCCGACTCGGTCGATCGCTCAAGAGATAATCTCTGAACTCAAGACTAGTGTCTGGAATTCAGAGATTAGCTAGAGAGGAACAACGACACTCAACATACTACTAGATACTCTTCACTCCCCGTACAGGCAAGAATTCGTTCTAGAATGTTCTCGCTCCCTCAATGGCATATTGATAATTTTATCACCAAATGGGCAATTTCGAGCCAAATTTGGCAACTCTGCCTTTCCTTGCCACTTTCTGGCAACCCTAAACCCGCTTTGTGGAGAAGTTATCTTACCGCAGCTGGGCTTTTCGTAACAATCTTCTTGACAATCGCGTAGCAATAAGCTTTAAAGTTTATGATGCCTTTACATCACAAGATTCTACTGACTTCTGTTCAGATGATTATTCATTAAATTTCATTAATCTACAAAACAACACAAATTAAGAATTATTTAGTGTTTAAAATTATCTGCAATAAAATGCAAAGTGTCGTATTTAAATTTTTTTTCCCCTTTCATAAGTTTGTATACATTTTCTTATTTTTTTATATGTCATAATATGTTCTTTTATGGAATCTTAAAATTCTGCCGTCCAAAAATATATTCGTTATAAAGATTTGAAATTTTTAAAGGTTATGAAAAACAGCTTTTTACCCTCTTTTAAGAAAGAATGATAAGAAATATTAATTGGATAATTTTTTTTGAATTTTTTTAAAGCCAGCCATGCTTTTATAAGAGTTTTTTTTAGTTCCCTAAGTAAGGAAGTAAAGGAAGTATTTTAATCTCGAAAAATTTCGGGTATCATATTTAGCTGTGGAACGTTGAAATTTTGTATATGGGACTGCCATGACAGCTGCTACATGTATATATTTCCACTCTGTTACCTGCCTACAATTTTATATCAGGAATAATATAAGCTTGGTCGCCTAGATAACAAAACTTATAAATCGAATTACATTCCCAAATGTATTAGCCGTTATCTTTATAAATTTATCAAATGCACCCCAAGCTTTTATTATTCGTGATATAAAATTCCAGAAGAATTTTGCAAACAGAATTCTTAATCGCTTGCTACCATTCAACTATATGATAAATAATTTTTCTACTTTTCATTTAATATGAATTTTCGCGAGGAATATCGAAGCTCACCAAAATGAGTTTCAGATCAAAGCAATGCTGAACTTAATCTCTGAGATAATTAATTAGCCTTGGCTTCAATGCAGCCGTTTTCATAGGGTTGCCCGTTATGACTGGAAGTATCGAGAAAAATCGTTTCTAAAGCTTCGCAAATGTGCTTTCCGGAAATCTCTAGAATTTCGCCAGATTGGCTATAAAAATTCTAGCCAAGACAGTTTGGGAGATTTTTGCCCGCATCTTATGCGCCCTAGAATTGGTTATAGATTAGGTTAAAAATATATAAAAGGGTTATTAAACAAAACCCAGCAAATAAACAAAAAAGATACCTAACACTATAAAAATTAAAAAAAAATACAATAAAATAAAAGCAAAAAGTTACATAAATTTAGCTCATTTTAAATCATAAAATCAGTCTTAGGCTGGCGTTGGTTTTAAAGAAAACTATTGATTTCAGAGGAGTCACTAATGAAGTTCTGCTAATTCGTATCAATTTGTGAAGTATTTGTGACTTTTCTATGCGATATTTACATAATAACACTT